AGTTTAAGCCAACTAAATACAAATTTTGAATAAAATAAATAAGTAACTGATTTAAAGATAGGATGTAATAAATCTAACAGTGCAACTATGTTGTATTAAAAAATAAATATATTCTGAATAATATTTTACGTGTATTTTATAAATACACGTAAAATATTATTACACATCTGTGCAGTCACTGTACAAATGTGGTCTTTATTCGTGAAAATATATTGTTGCCTTTTAGCATGTGGGCCCTCGCACCAGGATGGATCTGGGATTGAAAACCCCTGTGTTAAAAATACCATGGTATTACCATCTGAAATTACCACCATTTTTTGTAGGAGCTGTAAAAGTAATTGCATGACTTTTGCCTTGCAGGCTAAGTCTCCGCCAGCGAAGAAAACCAAAAGGAAGGAGAATGGCATCCAACCAAACAAGAAACCCAATAAAAAGAAAAGAATGAGAGCTCTGAAGTCCAGCATGAGGCTCAGCAGCAGTGAGAAGGAGAAATCAAAGGCCGTAAGTGTCTGAGCGTATGATGCCAGATACTGGAGATGTGAAGCTCATGATCTTCTGTTTTTCCAGGAGAAGGACTGTGAGACACATAATGGTGAAGGGTTTGAGAGTCCAGCTCTTGATGCGCTCCTGACGGATCTGACGAAGGTCAACAACAGCAGAGATAGAGCCAACAGACTGTTCCAGTGGCTTCTTCACCCAGTCCAAGACAAGAGCTTCTTCAGGTGTGAGAGCGCAAACACACACAATTACAGTGACATTTCATTTGATGAGTTTTGTAATATCGACACATCAATGTTTTTGAACTGAATTGTATGGAAGCTTGATTCTGCCGTGGGTCAAACAATTTAAAAGGTAGCTGCAACTCTCTATCTCACAATTCTGAGAAACAAATTCAGAACTGCGGGATACAAACTCACAGTTCTGAGGAAAATGTCAGAATTGCTTCAGTTTATGTCCGACTTAACTTCTGACTTTTCTTCTCAGATATAAACGGAGAATTCTGAGAAGGAATGTCTGAACTGAACTGTGAGATAAAAACTTGAATTTTGAGTTAAACATAAAAACAGAATTGCGAGACGTAAACTCCGATTTCTGAGAAAAAAGTCCCGAAATCTGAGTTCATATCTTCTTGACTTTCCTTCTCTTGATTTTGCACGTTTATATCTCGCAATCAGAGGAAAAAGAAATTAAAAAAAATCTCATTTGTGATAAGAGTCACAATTACCTTTTTTAATTGAGTTTTTCTGTGCTGGAAAAGGGCTTCCATAGAGTTGAATCAACATGGAACTGTTGAATAATTCGCAGGATATATATAATATGTGACCCTGGAGCACAAAACAAGTCATAAGGGTCAGTTTTTTAAAATTGAGATGTATACATCATCTGAAAGCTGAATAAATAAGCTTTCCATTTGTAAGGATTGGACAATATTTGGCTGAGATATAACTATTTGAAAATCTGGAATCTGAGGGTGCAAAAAAAAAATCTAAATATTGAGAAAATCATCTTTAAAGTTGTTCAAATGAAGTTCTTAGCAATGCATATTACTAATCAAAAATGAAGTTTTGATATATTTATGGTTGGAAATGTACAAAATATCTTCAAGGAACATGATCTTTACTTACTATCCTAATGATTTTTGGCATAAAAGAAAAATTGATCATTTTGAGCCATGCAATGTAGAATGAAGTTCTTAGCAATGCATATTACTAATCAAAAATGAAGTTTTGATATATTTATGGTTGGAAATGTACAAAATATCTTCAAGGAACATGATCTTTACTTAATATCCTAATGATTTTTGGCATAAAAGAAAAATTGATCATTTTGAGCCATGCAATGTATTGTTGGCTATTGCTACGAATATACCCCAGCAACTTAACACTGCTTTTGTGCTCCAGGGTCATATATATTTATATAATATTTCATCCACAAAGTGTACTAGAAGTCGCTTTGGATCAGAGATGATTGACAGGTCTTGTTCTCTCCACATTATAGAGATAATTGGGAGAAGAAACCCATTCTGATCCAACGACAGAATCCAGACTATTACAAAGGACTCTTTTCGACGGCTGAGTTTGACCACATCTTAAGAAACGTGAGCAGTATTTTTCTTTCATTTAGAAGGAATGAATGTATCTAATGTTGCAGTCAGATGTAATAATGTTCAGTGTTATGTTCAGGAGGACGTGCAGTATGCAGTGAATCTGGATGTGACGAGCTACACAAATGGAAAAAGAGAGACACACAATCCTCCAGGAAGAGCGTTACCATACACTGTGTGGGATTTTTATGAGGTATGTATTTTCATAACAGTTTTTAACATTGATAATAATCAGAAATGTTTCTAGAGCAGCAAATCAGCATATTATACTGATTTCTGAAGATCATGTGACACTGAAGACTGGAGGAATGATGCTGAAAATACAGCTGCGTATCACAGAAATAAATTACATTTTACAATATATTCAAATAGAAATGGCTATTTTAAATTATAATAATATTTCATAATTTTACTGTTTCTACTGTATTTTTGATTAAATAAATGCAGCCTTGGTGAGCAGAAGAGACTTCATTTAAAAATCTTACCAACATTAAACTATACAGCACAATAGAATAAAGGGGATAATATGCTGTTGTGCAAAGTTGGATGAACTGTAACCCATCTGTAAAGCTTTCATTTACTGTTAAAGTGTGAAGTTTAATCACAGATGTTGTTTGTCTTCTGTTATCAGAGCGGCTGTTCTCTCCGAATGCTCAATCCTCAAGCGTTTTCCTCCTCTGTGTGGCAAGTGCTCTCTATTCTTCAGGAGAAGTTTGGCAGTATGGTGGGCGCAAACGTGTATGTGACAATGACTCATTAACACTATATTATTACATTAATTTGATCAAATCTGTCAGTTATTGTTTAACTGTAATATGTTTTTCAGATATCTGACACCAGCGGGGACGCAGGGTTTTGCTCCTCACTATGACGATATAGAAGCGTTCATTTTGCAGTTGGAGGGCAAAAAGCACTGGAGAGTGTACAACCCTCGGTGAGCGATCAGTTACGCTTTAAAGGAGTAGTTCACCCAAAAATGAACATTTGTTATATTTTCTCACCCTCAGGCCACCCAAGATGTAGATGAGTTTGTTCTTCATCAGATTTGGAGAAATGATCCATTGCTCACCGATGGATGCTCTGCAGTGAATGGGTGCCGTCAGAATGAGAGTCCAAACAGCTGATAAAAACATCACAATAATCCACAAGTAATCCACACCTCTCCAGTCCATCAGTTAATGTCTTGTAAGGTGAAAAGTTACATGTTTGTCTACAAACCATTGCTTCCGGCTAAAATATGAGTCCTCTATCCATAATATTCCTTTCTTCGGTGAAAAAGTAATCTTGTTTGAATCAGGAGAGAAATATGCAACCGTTTACAAGCCAAAACAGATATGTTGGTGGATTCTGATGTGAGAAGACCGCATATTTTGGTCAGAAGAGATGGTTTAAAGTTAAAACAATTTAATGATGGATTTGTTTCTCATAGACATGCAGCTTTTGGCTTCACAAGACATTAACTGATGGACTGGAGTGGTGTGGATTACTTGTGGATTATTGTGATGTTTTTATCAGCTGTTTGGACTCTCATTCTGACGGCACCCATTCACTGCAGAGCATCCATCGGTGAGCAATGGATCATTTCTCCAAATCTGATGAAGATGCCGCTTGATTACCTTCAGTTCATGGGAGTTCAGAACTCTGAGAAGGTACTCGTGTTTCTACTCTATTAATATACAGGCTCCGTTCTGTTGGTCTCTGACCCGTATTGACACAGAAATCACTTGCGCGTGTGAACAGGAAGACCCACGAAGAGACAAATTCATTGCACACGTCGAGGGCCTGATGAAGAAACTGGTCAGTTTTGCGCCAGCCGATGCTGCTGTGGATCAGAAAGCCAGAGACTTCCTGCACGACTGCCTTCCACCGGTGCTGAGCGCTGGTGAGTCTCACAATAACACGCCACAACTAAAGGTCAGGTGGGGTTTTTTGCGTTAAAATATCGCCTTTGAAAGGTCAGACGCATAACTTCTGTCGAAACCAATTCTGTGAGTTTCAGAAAATATATGCCTGGTAAATGTCTCAATATATTCCAGTTTTACAGAAATAACATGGTTCAAGTATTTGTGTTGTATCAGATATTGCAGTAATACAATATCTGTTTTATACTGTATGTTAAACTGATTAATATGGAAGCTTGTTTCCGCAAACAAAAAAGGTAATTGCAGTATCTCACAATTCTGACTTTTTTGTAAATTGAGTTTTCATCTCACAATTATGACTTTTTATTTTGAATTTTGTTTATTTTTTCTCGTTTATTTCTCATAATTCTGACTTTCTGAATTTGGAGTTTACATCTCACAATTATGACTTTTTATTTCGAATTACATTGGTTCTCATTTATTTCTCGTAATTCTGACTTTCTGAATTTGGAGTTTACATCTCAGTTATGACTTTTTATTTCGAATTTTGTTTATTTTTTCTCATTTATTTCTCATAATTCTGACTTTCTGAATTTTCAGTTTACATCTCGCAATTATGACTTTTTATTTCGAATTTTGTTTTTTTTTCTCGTTTCTCGTTTAGTTCTCGTAATTCTGGCTTTCTGAATTTTCAGTCAACGTCTTGCAATTATGACTTTTTATTTCGAATTTTGTTTATTTTTTCTCGTTTATTTCTCGTAATTCTGACTATGAATTTTCAGTTTACATCTCAGTTATGACTTTTTATTTTGAATTTATTATTTATTCTTGTTTCTCGTTTAGTTCTCGTAATTCTGACTTTCTGAATTTTCAGTTAACGTCTCGCAATTATGACTTTTTATTTCGAATTTTGTTTATTTTTTCTCGTTTCTCGTTTATTTCTCGTAATTCTGACTTTCTGAATTTTCAGTTTACATCTCACAATTATGACTTTTTATTTCGAATTTTGTTTTTTTTTCTCGTTTCTCGTTTAGTTCTCGTAATTCTGGCTTTCTGAATTTTCAGTCAACGTCTTGCAATTATGACTTTTTATTTCGAATTTTGTTTATTTTTTCTCGTTTATTTCTCGTAATTCTGACTATGAATTTTCAGTTTACATCTCAGTTATGACTTTTTATTTTGAATTTATTATTTATTCTTGTTTCTCGTTTAGTTCTCGTAATTCTGACTTTCTGAATTTTCAGTTAACGTCTCGCAATTATGACTTTTTATTTCGAATTTTGTTTATTTTTTCTCGTTTATTTCTCGTAATTCTGACTTTATGAATTTTCAGTTTACATCTCAGTTATGACTTTTTATTTTGAATTTATTATTTTTTCTTGTTTCTCGTTTAGTTCTCGTAATTCTGACTTTCTGAATTTTCAGTTAACGTCTCGCAATTATGACTTTTTATTTCGAATTTTGTTTATTTTTTCTCGTTTATTTCTCGTAATTCTGACTTTATGAATTTTCAGTTTACATCTCAGTTATGACTTTTTATTTTGAATTTATTATTTTTTCTTGTTTCTCGTTTAGTTCTCGTAATTCTGACTTTCTGAATTTTCAGTTAACGTCTCGCAATTATGACTTTTTATTTCGAATTTTGTTTATTTTTTCTCGTTTCTCGTTTATTTCTCGTAATTCTGACTTTCTGAATTTTCAGTTTACATCTCACAATTATGACTTTTTATTTCGAATTTTGTTTATTTTTTCTCGTTTCTCGTTTATTTCTCGTAATTCTGACTTTCTGAATTTTCAGTTTACATCTCACAATTATGACTTTCTCTCGGAATTTTGAGTTTACACCTCGCAATTGACTTTTTTTCTCTAAATTTTGAGTTTATATCTTGCAATTCTGTAGTTTTTGTTTCTGCTACGGTACTGTATATTAAATCAGTTACCATTAAAGCTTGTTTCTGACATGGAATAAAACAATTCTGGCTTGTTAACTCACAATTCTGACTTTTTGTATCTCATAGATTATATCGGAATTGTGAGAAGTACAAATTGTGAAATATAAACTCAAAAATTGTAAGGAAAAAGTAAGCAATGTGATAATTACCTTCCATAGATTAAAGCTCAGATAATCATTCAATAAAATGTGTGTGTGTGTGTTTTGTAGAGGAGAAGGCCAGCAGTGTGTACGGGGCTCCTGCTCGATGGGGAGACGGTGAGGCCCTTGATGTGACTGTTCAACTGAAGGGCCAAACCCAAATCAGACTTGTGCGGGCTGGAGCTGCAAGGTACCAATACACAGTGTTTTCTATAACAATTATCAGGCTTGTCAATCTTAAATTGCATAAATATACTGGAGTTGTATAACGTGAATTTGCAGTCTGAATGGAATGTGATGAGAACTTCGGGTGCCACAAAGTAGTATAACTAATTATGAAGATACACATTAGTTTGGTGTAATAAATGGTATTTTAATTTAACAGCATATGCTAGAATAAAAAGTAAAATATATTTGTCTTCATAGGTTGTGCGGTGATGGAGAAACAGTCTCTCTTTTTTACACTACTGAAAACTCCAGAGTCTATCGTAAAGAAGAGCCCAAGAGCATTGAGATGAAAGCAGAGGTAAACATGTACTCTTGTCTGAAATGACTGCAGCGTTTACTTTCTTTAAGCATTGGGCTGATCATGTTGGTGTTTTTTTTTACAGCACATTGATGCCATGGAGTTTCTGATTCATTCATATCCTAAGTTTGTTTCTGTGGCCAGTTTACCATGTGAGAAAATGGAGGCTAAGGTACTGCATGCGTTTGTTTTATACTTAAGCCCTTAATGACCTGTTCAAATTGCTTTTATGAATGAATGAATCTCATTTTGCAGATGTCTCTGGCTGAGCTGCTCTTTGAGAAGGGACTGATCCACACAGCTGAACCTTTGACAGCTGAATAAAAACAGTATTTTGTGACTAAAGAAAATGAGTGTCCTATGTCATATGCTTCTTATCTGTACTAACTACATATTTTTTGTCAAATGAAATTAAAGGGTATTTGTACTTTTTTTTTTTTTTTAGGTTTCTTTGTCTTGTTGAACAGTTGTGGCAAGTTTGATTTTACTGTATATTTTCTGTATTCAATTATACAGAATTGCTGAGGTTAACCCATCCATACATTTTGGGAAAACAAACACTTCTGTAAATTTGCAAAATTGCATCAGTGCTAAAAGAGTGTTAAAACGGTTTAGTATTGGTGTCTTCTAACAACATATGCTCAAACACTTCTGTAAATTTGCAAAATTGCATCAGTGCTAAAAGAGTGTGTTAAAACGGTTTAGTATTGGTGTCTTCTAACAACATATGCCATCGCATTCAAATATGAAAAAAAGGTTATTGCATTTGCTATTTTGGCCATATTATCGTAATAGGCCATGTAAAGCAAGATAGGAAATCAAAATGATGTGAAATGATCAAAACAGACGATGCCGCAAAATCACATCAAATCAGGACATATTTGATATTTACTAACATGATGGCTCTGATGTGAAGCAAGAGTTTGGACTGAATAGAACCCAACCAACAAAATCTCCCATCACTCACTCATGTGCTGTAAATGAAAACTACAAGGCATTACAGAATTAAATGCAAAATGTATTGCGCCAACATGCTTGCAATCAGAGACATGGTGGATGCACAGACAATATACACATTCTAGGCAGAGGGTCCAATAAATATCACTGCAGGAGTCTCACTTCCAGGTGTATTCCTCACCAGGCTTCAGTTCCCTGAAATCAGAAGTTACAGATTCAGAAATGATTCATTTACAAAGACACACTCTGGTTTTAAGACATCTTTATAAGATGTTATATGACCTGCTGTATAAAGCACTCTTGTTCCTGAATGCTGTGAGTTTCTGGTCATTCCATCGGTCCAGATAAACCCCGATGACGAAACCCAGAGGGACCAGGATATTGACCCAGTGCTCACGAATCGCTGCTGCGAAGTTCACCATGATGCCTGTGATTAAAGAAAAGAGACATGTTATTAATGGCTTCTGCTTAAATGTTGGATTATACAAAATAAATAATACATGAATTGGGTTCCACTTTATATTAAGTGGCATTAACTACTATGCACCTACATCAAAAAATAAGTACAATGTACTTGTGTTTATATTGTATCGCAAAACACTTTTGCTGCTATTGCGGTGGAATACGGGTGAGGTTAGAGAGGTTTGGTGGTCTGGGTAGGTTTAAGGGATGGGTCAACAGTGTAATCATTTAAGTGAAATTAATTACAGATGTAATTACATGCAGGTATTTTTTAAAATATAAGTACAATGTTGTGCAATAAGTACATGCATGTACACAATATGTGCATTGTACCAAATGATTAATTTAAATGCAAGTACATAGTAGTTAAGGCCACTTAATATAAAGTGGGACCATGAATTGGGTTCAAACCTTTGATTACATATGATTATGTCACTTATGTGGAGTCAAAGCCAGTGAAATACAGCAATTCTGCAGCATTCATTGATCTGTCTGCAAAAAACTTAGTCTAACCTTATTAATATCTACTGACTTAAATAAAACGTCGAAATAGAAATGTCATGATGAAAGTATAAATGTTAGTGTTGATGTGAAGGTGACTGCTCTGGGCCCGTGTCCACACTATCTGCTACCGTCCTCACATAAACACGACATTTTAATTCCATTGCTTCCACAGAAAACTCGTACAAACACTTAATTCACTTTAATAGTCAAAATTAAGTATAAAAACACATTATATATATATATGAACTTAAAGTCATTTACCTTCCGCTAGTTTCCTCGGTGTGTTATTAGCACAGCAGCATTCACCCTTCCAGCTAAGGGCTTTGGACTGTACCAACTATCGACGTGACAGTTTGAAGGGAGTTGCTACAATTTTCCTTTCCACTACAATGAAACGTTTCTGTATTTAACACCCTAGCAAAATTGTTTATATATATGGACTTAACCTATTTACATTTGTGATATATATATATATTTTTATATGCTTTTGACAGTTTGACAGTTGAAAGGCTGAAGAATGATTAAATCCAGCCATTTTTCTTTTAGATCAAAACCTACATTTTAGACATAGATTTAATCTAAATATGTATCTTAAGAAATGAGCTATGTGTCGTTTATTATGAGACTTTCTCTTTGGTTTTGAGACTTTAGTCTTTGCAACTTCAGGGATCTTATCTATGCACAATCAGCTTGTAACACTCCAAAGAGAAAGGAAAACTTGAAATAGCATCATATGACCCCTTTAAACAAACAAATGCTCAAGACTAAATGCAAGTTCTTTACTGATGATCTTTTGTGTCCATCTGACGGGACGAGCAACTGCTCAGTAAGTTCAAACTAAACCAACAGTTCACCCAAAATGATTTTGATGATTTGTCATCAAACGTATTTGCTGCAATGAAGTGTGCCGTTCTACACTCTCTTCCAGCCAATGTCATGGAGACCCTCCGCGGCGACGGGAACGTGCTGATCGCCGTGGATACGGCGGGACGAGTGCTGGAACTGTCTCAGCTCCTTGATCAGATCTGGAGGACCAAAGACGCAGGATTGGGTGTTTACTCGCTCGCCCTGCTCAACAACGTCAGCTACAACGTGGTGGAGTTCTCAAAGTCCCAGGTCTCGCTGTCGCAGTCAAGTCCTTCAGAAATGTTGTTTGTGTGGTCTACAATAGTGTCATAACTGTTTTAAAGCAAGCTGGCATGATAGAGTATGTCACTCGCTTTGCAAAAACCAAGTGTGTGCTTTCACTGCATGGTATTTAATGCCGTTTGAATGTCTCGAAATTCAAGATAAGCAGGGACTTTTTTCCTGCACGAGTTTTGTTTAATATTTTTATGAAATGATAATGTTAAGCAATATCATATGAGCAAGAGTGCGTTTTTTCCTGAATATCAGTATGATTGTTAGCAAATGTTACATTGATTTTATGACACAATATTTTGAGATCCATTTGATCCTTTTTCTCTCAAATGTGAGTTATAAACTTGCAGTTCTGACTTTTTTTTCCCCCCCTCTGAATTGGAGGTATAATCTCAAAATTGACTCTTTTTCTCAGAACTGTAAAGAATTCCAACTTTTTTTCACAGAATTGTCAAGAATTCTGACTTTTTTTTTTCTCAGAATTCCTCACAGTTGCAAATGTATGAGTTATTAATTGCGAAATGTAAACTCAGAATTCTGAGAAAGTCAGAAGTCATACTTAGTTTTTTTCCCCCATGGCTTTTGTGTCCCCAAACAATACACACTGAAACGTCATTACTGAATGATTCCGCGTTTTGAACGAATGAGTTTAATGAATGATTCAGTGACCGACTGAATCAGTTGTTACAATGAAATGTCTTAATAATATCTGTATTATTTTTTAAATATTGCATGTGTAGCAAGACGTGTCAGAAATCAGAAAGTTTCTTGTGTTTCCTCACAGGTCGAGTGGATGAGCGATAAACTGATGCGATGCTTCGAGGACAAGAGGAACAACCCTTTCCAGTTCCGCCACCTGTCGCTCTGTCACAGCCTGTCCGATCTGAGCCGCGTGCCCAGCCCGAAGGTGGTTCTGTGCAGCCAGCCCGATCTGGAGGCCGGCTTCTCCCGAGAGCTCTTCATACAGTGGTGCCAGGATGCCAAGAACTCAGTCATCCTCACCTACAGAACCACACCGGGAACGCTGGCCCGCTACCTCATAGACAACCCAGGGGAGAAGAGAATCGAGCTGGAGGTGAGGCCTTAAACTGGTTTGAGTCTGGTTTACTTTTTCTGGCTAACAGCCGACAAGGAATTTAATATGAAGATAGGACAAAGTATACTTTTTTTTAGCAACATTATGAAAGTGAATAACAGGCACAACAATAACAGATGAGTTTCAGTATATTGGATCCGTGCAGTCAGTCTTAAAGTGACAGCAGCCTAATATAAATCAAATCAAATAACAAAAGTAGCTATATCGAGATTGTGAAATAAAATCATACTGTGAAGTAAGATTTTGAAAAAAAATATAACAAAAAAACTATCATAGGAAAAAATAGAAATTAGCTGAAAATATGATTTTATGATCAGAATTTTTTTTTCTTTTTTTTGTTGCACATCAGAAAACAATGTTAGCATCCATTCATTATAACTTAATTTTTGGGGGGATATTTTTTCATCTTCTGGGTTTAATATCTACATCATGTCAATTTTACAGGATGTGTGTCGTGATTATTAATGAGACTGTGGTCTTTCTATGAGGAGACGTTGTAATTATTCACGAGAACTTATTTACCAAAGTTACCAAAAAACAAAACTGGATAAACTGTTTTGCTAGCGGGTAACTGGTTTGCTTGTTATTACATCGCTCAGACAAATCTCTGAATATCACATTTAATTTGATCCCACAAATTTGGGCAAATCTAGTGATTAGTTTTCCTCTAGCTTTTTTTCAAGCAATTTTTGTGTGCAAAATGCATCGGATGGCCAGTGATTTTGAAGATTTTGTGTTTTCTTTTCTTTAACTAAACCAGATAAGAAAACGTTGCAGACTGGAAGGACGAGAACTAGAGGAATACATGGAGAAAGAGAAAATGAAGAAAGAGGCTGCCAAAAAACTGGAGCAGGCGAAAGAGTGAGTAGAAATGTGTCTGAGACTAAAATACTGTCTGAATGACAAACTGCTTGGATTCACCCAGAATACACTGCTGATCAAACTAAGACTTTCTAACGGTATTTATTAAGGGTGTAGAGGGTAATTTTCTACAAATATTCATAAGACAGATCCTCACTGAAAAAAAATAATTTTATAAATACTTATCATTCACGCGATTGGGTCACAAAGTTGTTGGCTCTTTGAGCTGTGATGTTAAACATTCAACATCTCCTGCTGCTGCTGCTTAAAATGGAATGAAAACACTTTGAAACAGCAACTCTTGAGTTGATCAGGTTGTGCAAAGCCTGCACTAATGCTACTATCTTTCCAGTGATGCCTTTTGCCTCCAGATGAATCCATGTTTTGCTATCTGTTTCAAGAAGTGCTAAAGTCTGTTCACATTTGTGCTCTTTAATGAATCAAACTCTGACCCAAAACAAGTGAACTGACTGAAAAATCACTTAGTTCTCTTTTACATTATACAGTACCATTCAAAAGTCTCTTCTGTTTGCCAAGGCTGCATTTATTTGATCAAAAATACAGCAAAAAGAGTGAAATATTATTAAAATTTAAAGTTAGTCAAGTCAAGTTTATTTGTAAAGCGCTTTTCACGATACTAATCATTGCAAAGCAACTTTACAGCAAATTAAGTTTCTACAATATTTAGTCGTAGCTTATCAGTGGTGACTGTCAGTTGATGAACATATGGCAGAAATGTACGGAAAAATCGATTTAAGACGTAATAAAACAGACGATGAACAACATATGATGCAATCAAACTTATAGCAAAATGTGGTAGTTCTGTATGTTGTTTCGGGGTTGTTATCATCTGAGGTCCTCTGAGGGGTTGCATCATCTCTTCTCAGGTGTTCTGGATCCAGACTGAAGCTTGTGTAAATCCTAGTCAAAAAACAGAGAAACAAATAGAGACATAATTAGCGTAGCTGCTGTTCCAACCAAGCAAAATTGATTTGTTTAACCCAAACTAAAGAATAATAATGTGCATTTGATCAGATATAACTGCAGTACAAGATTATGAGATGCATTATTTGAATGCTTGGCCAAAGAGATGTGTCTTTAATCTAGATTTAAACAGAGAGAGTGTGTCTGAACCCCGAACGTTATCAGGAAGGCTATTCCAGAGTTTGGGAGCCAAATGCGAAAAAGCTCTACCTCCTTTAGTGGACTTTGCTATCCTAGGTACTACCAAAAGTCCAGAGTTTTGCGACCTTAGTTTTGCGAAAATAACTGTTTTCTATGCAAGTATAAAATGTAATTTATTCCTGTGAACCAAAGTTGAATTTTCAGCATCATAACTCCAGTCTTCAGTGTCACGATACATCAGAAATCATTTTAATATGCTGATTGGCTGCTCAAGAAACATTTCTGATTATTATCAGTGTTGAAAACAGTGGAGCTGCTTCACATTTTTGTGAAATTTTTTTTTTTCACATTTTCAGCATTTGTAACATAAATGTCTTTACTGTCACTTTTTCAATTGAATGCATCCTTGTTGAATAAAAGTTAAAAACTAAATTTACTGACCTCAAACTTTTGAACTTGGAACCCATTTAACTTATTTTAAAATATAACACTGAATTGTCACATATTATATTAATAAAAAATATTATATATTATTAGGGATGTAACTATTCACTCAACTCACGATTCGATTCACAATGTTTTTTTTTTACAAAATGAGATTTAAGACAAATAATAAGTTAAATGTGTCCTTTTATTATTGCTTGGACAAAATACTGCACGTTTCTTTGTGAAATTGAAATATAACACAATAATAATGTACTAATATAGCACTTGTAAATTATTGCTCTTTTGTTGGTTTTGATTGCTTCTATTGTCCTCATTTGTTAGTCGCTTTGGATAAAAGCGTTTGCTAAATACCAAAATTTAAATATAATGTAAATGTAAATAACAAAACTAAATTGAAATTTTAAAACAAGCCCCAAATCAAATAAATAACACAAATAAAATAAATCTCTTCATATAAACAAAATAAGTCGTCTGTGCTCTTTCCATTTAAAATTAAAGGCAATCAAATTACATTACATTACAAATTACATTGTAGCTATCCTAACAAACCATACATCAATGGAAAGCTTATTTATTCAGCTTTCAGATGATGCATAAATCGGGAAATTTACCCTTATGACTGGTTTTGTGGTCCAGGGTCACATATGAGACAATTATATATGAGACCACTAGAAAGGAACTATTGAAGTCAAAAAGGTGATAAAAAATTACAACACCTAAAATGTACACTTCACTTTACACAGTAATATTCATGTTAACCTAAAGATATTGAGATAAAGCACTGTTCATGAGTATGTTATATTCACTTTTGAGCAGCACTATAAGGCAATCTCAGTTGTTTATGGTTTAATAATGCCATCACTATTATTAGATCAGCTCTGAATCCTAACCCTACCTCAGGTTTAATAAGAGCACTCTGTGTTGATGGTCAGGGTGGACATGGACTCGAGCGATGAGAGCGATATGGACGATGATCTGGAGCAGCCGGCGGTGGTGAAGACCAAGCATCATGACCTGATGATGAAGGGCGAGGGCGGGAGGAAGGGCAGCTTCTTCAAACAGGCCAAAAAGTCCTACCCCATGTTCCCTACACACGAGGAGCGAGTCAAATGGGATGAATACGGCGAAATCATAAGGTGAGTGAGACGATTTAGAGTTATTTCCCTTAAAAAAATCAGAATCGGATGGTAATACCATGATATTTATGGGTTTGTGCTACTATTTCCTCCATAAACTAATAAAAAGTATTTTATAAATCCTCTATTATATGTGTTATGTTTATTGTGTAATATTCATGTTCTGTATTTACTCTAACCACAGGCCCGAGGAGTTTCTGGTTCCAGAGCTCCAGGCCACAGAAGAGGAGAAGAGCAAACTGGAGTCTGGACTGACTAACGGAGAGGAGCCGATGGAGCAGGACCTGTCCGACGTTCCCACCAAATGCACCAGCACCACACAAGCGCTAGACATCAGGTGATTGTTCATTTCATCATCAGTCTGACTCTTATTACTGATTATGATAAATAAGTGAAAAAACTCTGGATGAAAGTTCATTGGAAAAAAAACCTACATTTACTTTGTTTAAATGTTTTAATAGGGAGGGTTGTATTAAAACCTCAGCAGTGTTGTTGTTGTTTTTATTAGAATTTATAATATTAGAAAATTCTACACACACACACATAATTTGTTTACATATCATTTCTGTGCAAAATGCTAAACTTTAAATGTAGAGGTTTAATATATAAAAATATATATTTTTTTATGTATTTTTTTTATTTATGTATTAAAACCTCTGCAGTGTTATTTTTGAATAAATATTAGCAAATTTGTGAGATTGGGCAGTATTCAGGATTTATTCTATAAATTATTTATTTTTTGTTCAAAACGCTAATGTCAAATATTAATAAATCTAAGCAAATTTGTGCACTACAGCAGTGTTCAAGACTTATATATACTGTAAAAAAATAATCACTCAGAAATTGCTAGTAAATTCACAAACAATTACAAAGAAACAGGAAGTAAGACGTTGAATTAAACATCAAATTTTAAATTAGAAAGACTAAAATGGTATTTTCTTGTAAAATATACTCCAATAATCTTTGTTTTATTTACAACTTCGAAAAATATTTTTACTGTCTGTATATAACTACTGTTTTTTTTTGTACAAAATGCTAAAGTTAAAATAAAAGTATACGACAGTTTAAATATATTAAAACCAGTGTTATATATATATTTATTTATTATTAAATTTAGTTTTTTTCAGGTTTTGTTCTATACATTTTATGTTGAAAAGTTTTAAAACAAGATATATATACTTTTTGTTTTATATATATATATATTTTTATCAGAACAAGGTACATTGAAAGAATTCAGTGACAAAGGCACTTTCAAAGGCATTCATTTTTACTTTTTCTACCCACAACATAAAACAAAACAAAACAAAAAAGACCATGGGGGCAGGGGAAGGGGAGAGGATTTGTGTGTGGGGTGGGGGGTTGGGGGGCTTGGCTCAAAGTTGGAGGAGTACATTCTTCTCGATATAGATTATTAAAGGATCCAATGTTTTGTAAAACGTTCTGGTTGATCCTCTTAGAAAATATGAGATTTTTTCAGTTTTTAGAAAAAACATTACATCACTAAGCCATAGTGATGATTTAGGTGGCATTGGTGATTTCCACTCTAAAATAATTCTTCTTCTAGCTATTAATGTTGCAAATGCCATGTCATTTTCTTTATCTTCAGTTATGTGAATGTTTTTTTCAGTTTTTAGAAAAAACATTACATCACTAAGCCATAGTGATGATTTAGGTGGCATTGGTGATTTCCACTCTAAAATAATTCTTCTTCTAGCTATTAATGTTGCAAATGCCATGTCATTTTCTTTATCTTCAGTTATGTGAATGTTGTCACCTGTAACTCCAAACAGAGCCATTATTGGGTTAGGCTGCATTCTTAAAGGGGTCATATGATGCGATTTCAAGTTTTCCTTTCTCTTTGGAGTGTTACAAGCTGATTGTGCATAGATAAGATCCCTGAAGTTGCAAAGACTAAAGTCTCAAAACCAAAGAGATATTCTTTATCAAAGTTAAGACTCTGCCACACCCCCCTAAAACGGCTCGTTCTAACACGCCCCCACATATCTACCTCACTATGTGGAAATATTTGCATAATGCGCCCAAATGTTCACGCAAAGAAAGAAGGCGTGGTTTCAGTAACCGCAGTTAGTGTTGAAGCAGCATGTCAGGGAGACGCTGTGTGTTTCTAGGCGAAAGCAAAAGCACTTTATTTGGCCTTCCAGAAGTAGATGCATTTAGGAATCTTTAAGATGACTTACAACAGAACAGCAATGCATTTTATGGACCACCATTTCGTGAACCTAGGAGAGGAGGTAATTCTGACTTTGCTATGACAATCTTGCGCTTCTGAATCAGCTACTGTTTTATTATTAGTTTAAGTATTTGCTATTGACTGTTCAAATGCGGAGTTTTGCGCATCATGTGTGTGTGTGTGCACGTGTGCACGCGCGTGTGTGTGTGAGAGAGAGAGAGAGAGAGAGAGAGAGAGAGACACACATCACATCACATCACAGTAGAGTCAGCTGTCTTAACCGCAGCTTGTGTACTGCATCATTACAGTGTCTGTTCCCCTTTCGGGCTTGAACTGATGGTAAAACTAATGACATTATTTACTGTCTTTACATTTATTTTGAAAGATGAAGCTCGTGATTATGGTAAGGGGCGTTACATTTCCGACGAGTGCTTGCGGTGTTCGGCCAATCACAATGCACTGGTTCAGCTGGCCAATCAGAGCAGACTGCGCTTGTCGGAAGGAGGGACTTTGTAGAAAACGAAGCGTTTGAGAGAGGCGGGGCATAGAGGACCTACAATAATGTACAGTATTTGAAAAGTTATGTGTTTTTTGAACATTAAAGCATGTCAACATATTCTGTTACACCAAATACACAAAATAATGATCTTTAAAAAAAGCATCATATGACCCCTTTAAATTAAATGCTGAGTTTAAAATGTCAAATATTGAAGACCAAAATTGTCTCAGTTTAGTGCATGACTTGGACATATGGGTTAGATCTGCCTTAAATGCACTGCAACGATCACATGTTTCATCTATATGTTGGTATAGTTTAGCCAGTTTGGTTTTACTAGTGAATCCGGTAGAGAACTTTCATCTGAATCAGCTTGAGTCGTGCACAAGATGAAGTCCTATTTATTCTGTCAACAGCTTTGTCCCAAGTGTCTTTGGATATGTCAATTCCCAACTCTCCTATTCATTCTGTTTTGATCTTCTCTAGTGATCTATTTTGGAATGTCATAATTAAGTTATATATTTTGGAAATGAAGCCCTTGAGGTGTGTAGGGGTCTTAAGAACCAAGTACCCGTACTCTTTTAATATTTTCACAACTTCAGAGATGCAACGGGCACTCTCCTATTCATTCTGTTTTGATCTTCTCTAGTGATCTATTTTGGAATGTCATAATTAAGTTATATATTTTGGAAATGAGGCCCTTGAGGTGTGTAGGGGTCTTAAGAACCAAGTACCCGTACTCTTTTAATATTTTCACAACTTCAGAGATACATGATAGTGGGTCAGTTATATATAATAACAGATCGTCAGCATATAGAGAGAATTTACACTCTACACCCCTTCTTTTAATACCACTGATAGACTGTGATGATCTGAGTACTGATGATAATGGCTCTATAGCCAAAATAAATAGCAAAGGGCTAAGGGGGCATCCTTGCCGTGAATCCTGATTCAGAGGGCATTTGAGGAAACACAGAGCAATGGGCCTGAATAAAGTGTCGAATCATTGTAAGGTCATTACAGGTCATTGTAATTAGCAAAAATATTATCAATGAAAAAGTCACTGCATTTAACTATACCCAAGTCCTGCCATTGCTTGAAAAGTAGGATCTAGCTTGGCAGCTGGGAAAAGATGATTATTACATATGGGGGTTTCCAAGGAAGATTCTGTGAGTTGAAATGCTTGTCTAAACTGATTATATATTTTGAGAGTCGAAATTACAACTGGACTTGAGGAAAACTGCGATGGTGAGAATGGTGACTTCATTGTAATCAGCACCGACAGCGATGTTGATTTGCAAGATTTAGCCTCCGCTTCACACCATTCTATATGTGGGGACTGAAACCAATAAATAACTTTTTGTAAATTTGCTGCCCAATAATAATTTAGCAAATTTGGGAGAGCCAGTCATCCGTCCTTTTTAGGGTTTTCAAGAAACTCCCTGTGTATTCTTGGCTTTTTGCCCACCCCCATATAAAGGAAGACAGCAACCTATTGGTTGACTGATAAAAGGACTTTGGCAAGAAAATTGGAAGACTCTGAAACAAATACAATAATCTGGGTAACACATTCATTTTAACACAATTGATTTTACCAGTTAAAGACAAATATATAACACTCCACCGTCGGAAATCTGATTCAAGTTTTTTAAGTATGGGATTATAATTTGCTTTAAACAGATCAGTGTACGAACGGGTAATATTTATTCCTAAGTATTTAAATCTTGATTTTGATATACAAAAGGGCAAGTCTGTATCTGTAATCTGATCTGCCATATGATTTACAGGGAAGCATATACTTTTAGAGAAGTTTAATTTATAACCTGAAAAGTACCCGTACTCTTTTAATATTTTCACAACTTCAGAGATACATGATAGTGGGTCAGTTATATATAATAACAGATCGTCAGCATATAGAGAGACTTTATACTCTACACCCCTTCTTTTAATACCACTGATAGACTGTGATGATCTGAGTACTGATGATAATGGCTCTATAGCCAAAATAAATAGCAAAGGGCTAAGGGGGCATCCTTGCCGTGTGCCTCTAGACAAGGAAAAATATTGTGATACTATCTTATTTGTGACTACGGCTGCCTTAGGTTGATGATAAAGCAGGTGAATCCAGGAAATTAATTTTGAGCCAAATCCAAATTGATCTAGTACAGCAAATAAATAGTTCCATTCGACTCTATCAAATGCTTTCTCTGCGTCTAGAGAAATAATCACTTCAGGATTACCCTCGGACGATGCATTTAAATCTTGATTTTGATATACAAAAGGGCAAGTCTGTATCTGTAATCTGATCTGCCATATGATTTACAGGGAAGCATATACTTTTAGAGAAGTTTAATTTATAACCTGAAAAGTACCCGTACTCTTTTAATATTTTCACAACTTCAGAGATGCATGATAGTGGATCAGTTATATATAATAACAGATCGTCAGCATATAGAGAGACTTTATACTCTACACCCCTTCTTTTAATACCACTGATAGTCTGTGATGATCGGAGTACTGATGATAATGGCTCTATAGCCAAAATAAATAGCAAAGGGCTAAGGGGGCATCCTTGCCGTGTGCCTCTAGACAAGGAAAAATATTGTGATACTATCTTATTTGTGACTACGGCTGCCTTAGGTTGATGATAAAGCAGGTGAATCCAGGAAATTAATTTTGAGCCAAATCCAAATTGATCTAGTACAGCAAATAAATAGTTCCATTCGACTCTATCAAATGCTTTCTCTGCGTCTAGAGAAATAATCACTTCAGGATTACCCTCTGACGCAGGAGAATGCACAACATTAAGAAGTTTCCTAATATTAATGAAGGAGTGGCACCCCTTTATGAAGTCTGTCTGGTCTTGTGAAATAATATCTGGTATTATATATACTCTATTCTAGAGGCCAGTACTTTAGATACAATTTTAACGTCTACATTTAGTAAGGAAATAGGTCTGTAAGAACTACAATCAAGGGCTATATATACCTTTTAAGAGGATAAATTCTATTAAAAAGCAGTGTTTAGGATGTCATCCGTATATTTGGCCTGCAGGTGGCGCTCACCCCGTAGTGTGTGAGATTGTCACAAATCAGTGTTTGGTAAAAATGTGTCACGCTTTTACTAAGATCTAGCATCATAGACGTGTCCTACAGTCAGTTCAAAATATTCAGGTCTCTCCCAAACACACTCAGATGTCTGTGTTTGCCAATGCACTGCTGTCAGGTTTAGCAGAATAATTAGCACTTATGCCTAATAACCCTCCATCCATCTCTAATGATTTGCTCTTCTGCGATTTGTGTGTTTATTTGCCGCTGAATTGATAGATAATGTGAGTTCAGACTCAATGAGTGATTCTGATTTCCAGTGGTGAGGCAATGTTTAAATCATTTGAGATTTGAGCTTCATTTAATGCTAAACACTTGCCAGCATTTTACAATTATCATTCTATCAGTTTTAAAGCTTAATCATTTGAAAACATCAGAATGAAAATGAGAATACTTCAGAAAGAAAATACACATTTCAGCATGTCAACAAAAAATAGCTGCTAACATTTACTATTTTCATGATTTATAGTGTAAATGAAATGCATAGAAGGTAAATGGAAATAAGTAAATTATTTAAAATTGTGAAGAATTATTATATTATAAAATGTAATAATTCAGATAAGTTGTCTAAGCTTTTCAGGTTCCTACCATTTAGAAAAACCTCATCAAATGAGAGCTTATTTTGTAACGTTAAGCAATATATTGTATAAACCCGATATACAGACAACGAGTCTTCAGGAAAATAAATAGTAATTATTAATTAAAATAATAATATAATTATATAAAATAATTATAACATTATAATTAATAACAATTAATATACTATATAGTAATATATTTAAATATTATTATGATAAAATTGTGTGTGTGTGTGTATATGTATATATATATATATATATATATATATATATTAAGCTTTTCAGGTTCCTACCATTTAGAAAAACCTCATCAAATGAGAGCTTATTTTGTAAAGTTAAGCAAAATATTTTATAAACCCGATATACAGACAACGAGTCTTCAGGAAAATAAATAGTAATTATTAATTAAAATAATAATATAATTATATAAAATAATTATAACATTATAATTAATAACAATTAATATACTATATAGTAATATATTTAAATATTATTATGATAAAATTGTGTGTGTGTGTGTATATGTATATATATATATATATATATGTATATTTATTTATTTATTAATAAAAAAATGTGAAAATCTGTTACTGAAATTTTGGTTAAAAAAACAAATGAGATTTATATTTACATTGTCTACTCTAAAGTTTGAATCTAAATGGGGAAAAAAAATTCTATAGCTTTGTCAAATTCAAATCTATAGATTAGTCAAATTCTGTCAGTGTTGTGAGATATTATATATATATATATATAATTCTTCTTCTTTTTTTTTTTTTTTTTGTTTTTTTTTTTTTTGGCTATTCTGGAATGGCTTCTTGCTTTTTTTTTTTTTTTTTTTTTTTGGAATGTTGTATTGTTTGGTCGTACTTTCATGGCAGACTGACCCAGATATGCCGCGTTCAGAGTCATTGATGCATCTGTTGTGTCCCTCAGAGCTCGAGTCATGTACATCGATTACGAGGGCCGTTCTGACGGGGACTCCATTAAGAAGATCATAAACCAGATGAAACCCAGACAGCTAATCATCGTTCACGGGCCGCCTGAGGCCAGCCAGGACCTGGCCGAGTCCTGCAAGGCCTTCAGCGGCAAAGACATCAAAGTTTACACGCCAAAACTGCAGGAGACTGTGGACGCCACCAGCGAGACCCACATTTACCAGGTAATAACTCTCTCCGTCACACAAAAACTGACATTTACAAATTATATATATTTCAACAACTTTGAGAAATGCCATCTTAGGTATCAAAGCATTTTCACTGAGAAATTAGATAACATTTCTTCCAAGCAATGTGGTAGAGAGAGAAACTTGCACACCTGGCAGCTGGGAGATATAGCAGTCATAACATAGTAAGATTTAGAATTTTGGCTTGCTACATCTTCAAATATGCACACCTCAAAATATTCACCACAATTATTTATTTTAAACTGTCATCGCAGCTATTATGTATGCAATTTTACCCACATTATATATAGATATTCACTGCAGTTCTATACTGTAAGACTGCAAAAATGATTTTTAATGAAAAATGCTCTATATAGATTTTCCAAGATGGAAGCCCGGTCACTTTTTTTTTTTTTTTTGATGGTTGCTTTTTAAAGTACATGCAATAAAGAAGATATTCAAGCAGACTTTCTTTTAGATCTGCTGATTAGATCTACAATGAGTATAATAATTTTATAAAAATAAGCTTTTATAACAAGTTAGCAAAAACATCAGTATTTAAATTTTGCATTTATTTAACACACATTATGCTGGCATAAGTCAGAATTTGTAATTGCTGATGAGATAGAGATTGAGCATTATCTGATGGCCTTGTCATTAGGATGCTAATGAGAGACTGGTCTATTCTGCCCAGCCTTGTCTTCGCTCTGTGGCTAAATGAGAATGACATGGCCCACCTGAGACGGATCATCCTCCAGTTAATATTTCCAATCTGTTAATCAATGAGCTGATCGATAGATGGTAGGGTGAGAGGAGACAGACAGGGTCCCCCAACTGTCAGCATGGTGCCCCCGTGGGATTGCGGGGCTACACTGGCTCTCTGGATCAGGTGGCAGCTGAAGTAACAAGTCCTCATGCCGGTTTTTACAATGTTTGATTCTTAAATGCTTGTTATTTTTAAAAAATATGGATTAATAAAATGGCTATTCTGGAATGGCTTCTTGCTTTTTTTTTTTTTTTTTTTTTTTGGAATGTTGTATTGTTTGGTCGTACTTTCATGGCAGACTGACCCAGATATGCCGCGTTCAGAGTCATTGATGCATCTGTTGTGTCCCTCAGAGCTCGAGTCATGTACATCGATTACGAGGGCCGTTCTGACGGGGACTCCATTAAGAAGATCATAAACCAGATGAAACCCAGACAGCTAATCATCGTTCACGGGCCGCCTGAGGCCAGCCAGGACCTGGCCGAGTCCTGCAAGGCCTTCAGCGGCAAAGACATCAAAGTTTACACGCCAAAACTGCAGGAGACTGTGGACGCCACCAGCGAGACCCACATTTACCAGGTAATAACTCTCTCCGTCACACAAAAACTGACATTTACAAATTATATATATTTCAACAACTTTGAGAAATGCCAACTTAGGTAATATATATAAATATATATATATTAGTGCTGTCAAACGATTAATTGCGATTAATCGCATACAAAATAAAAGTTTTTGTTTGCATATATGTGTTCTGTGTATATTTATTATGTATAGATAAATACACACAGTATATATTTTGAAAAATATTTACATGTATTTACATGTCTATATTTATATTCATATAATTTATATTATAAATAATTATATTTAATATATAAACAACATATTTTTCTGAACATGCATGTGTGTGTATTTATATTTATTATATGTGTATTTATGTAATAAACATATAGAGCACACATACATATATTATGTAAACAAAACTTTTATTTTGGATGCGATTAATCGCGATTAATCATTTGACAGCACTAATATATATATATATGTATATATAGGGGTGTCCCCCACTAAGGATTTTCACATTTTTTACAATCATTTGACATCAATAATATATATATCTATATATATATATAGGGGTGTCCCCCACTAAGGATTTTCACATTTTTTACAATAGTGCTCTCATTAGAATGTTGTTGTTGTTATGTATATATGACAGTAGTTATTAATGTTCTGCATTTCTGTTTTGAGCTGCGCGCGCTGAAGATGACCAGTAGAATGAAGCAGCAGGTTTTTAATCAATGGTATTTAAGTCATCATTTATCTCATATAGAATATGCTTTGTTATTTATACAACATAATGTTAATATTACGACTTATAGGCTATCTACACAAAATGCCATGAATGCACATGAACGCGGCTCTGAATTAACTCCTTTTGTGGATATAACGTGCAGAAACACGGCAACTAAACTCTAAAATTTCACAGCGTTTTATTATAATAGTGTTCACATTATAATGTTATGTATATGACAGTCCCAGTCAGTTATTAATATTCTGCATTGTTGTTTGACCTACTTGCGCTGCGTGCTGAAGAGATAATCACCGTAGTACTACAATGAAGCGCTTTACTGCAACGCAACTCAACCAAATGCATCTTATATGAGATAAATATATAAAATATATAAACTGGCTGAAATGTTTTGAAATCACTTGTACCCTACCTGATCGAAAAAATCCAGTCTTTCACTCTGCCTGTGTCAGTTTGAGTCTTGTTAAAGATTTAAATCGCTGCCGCCAAGATGCTCCTCTGCCGGTCATGGATTATGGAAAGTGAAACTTAAATCTATAGGGGTGGTTGGATTTATTCACGCACGTTAAAATATTAATTTAAAGCTTCTTTCTTTTCAGATTCTTATTTACGGCATTATTTTAACAGGCTGTATATTAACTTATTGGGAGAAAACCAGTAGTTCTATGTGAAATCAGACATTTGAGCACCTCCATATAGCCAAATGTGAATTTATGTGAAAGTTTTGCAGTATGACATGCTAAACTCCATCTTACTGCTTAATATATAAATATTAAGATATGGAATAGTTCACTAAAGGTTCTGGGAGCTTTGAGTTGTGGATGTTTCAAAATAGCATCATTTATCATGTTATGCTATAATTTTAACTTTGACATTGCAAAGTGTCCAGTCTTCTGAAATGTTCACAGACTGATGAAGCTGTAAATGTGTCTGTAGGTCAGACTGAAGGACTCGTTGGTCAGTTCGCTGCAGTTCTGTAAAGCCAAAGACACAGAGCTGGCCTGGATCGATGGCGTTCTGGATATGCGGGTGGAGAAAGTGGACACGGGTGTCGTCGCAGAGATGGGAGACGCCAAAGAGGAGACGGAGAATGGAGAGCCAGCCATGGACGTCACGCCGGACCTGACGACTGAGCCCAGCGCCGCGGCTAACCAGCGGGCCATCAAGACTCTGTTTGGAGAGGACGACAGGGAGATTTCAGAGGAGAGCGACGTCATTCCCACGCTGGAGCCGCTGCCTGCTCATGAGGTGAGAGAGACACAGCAAATCCTGCACAAACAACACGTTTAACCTGCGTTGCTCAAGTTTTGTTTAGTTTAAGTAGATAATGTAAAATAAAGTAGTAAGCCCCAAGAAGCCGTGGTTTACAGTGCATTTATAACAGCTAAGGGCTTCACGGGGCTTATTGCTTTTATACGGTTATTCCATATACGTAGTTAGGTTTCACAAAATAAAACAGAGCAAATAAAGTGTAATGATATAAATAAAAACCGTATTCTTCCACCAAACAATATAGTTCCTCAGAAACAGTTGTGGTTGCAACAAAGTGGTTGACGAGCAACACACAGAAGTAAATTAAGGCGTATGTTTGTAGAGTAATTTACAACAGCTTCGAACACAGCTCAACCAATCAGAATCAAGGACCGGAACTATCCGTTTTATGACAAAAAAATTACTACGTACTATATAGACATCTTTTAAAAATAAATAATAATCAAAATAAAAATGTCAAAAGATTGCCAAACTAAATACAAAATAAAATTCAAGTGAAAACAGAAAATATTAAATTAAAATCTAATTCAAAATATTTACAAAAACTATAAACATAATTATAATGTAATTTTACTACCTTTTCAATAATCTTTCCTATAAAAGGAAGATTTGATATTGGTCTATAGTTGCTCAATATGGTGTTATCAAGATTTCTCTTTTTCAGAAGGGGTTTAACAACTGCAGTTTTCAGGGAGTTTGGAAAAGTCCCAGAAAGACTTTTTTACAGTAAAACTGAATTTTATTTCAGCTAGTTGCCAAGGCAACAGTTCTCAATTCCACTTAATTTGATGTAATAAAATAACTATAAACTAAAATTAATAAATACTATAGACAAATTAAAAAGAAACCTAATAATGACAAAATACTTTTACTAAAATGACTAAAACTATCAAATTAAAGTGAAAACCGAATAAATTAAGATAAAATCGTATTTCAAAAATCAGTTGCCAAGGCAACATTTCTACTTTTCATTTAGTTTAATTTGAAGTAATAAAATAATTAAAACTAAATAAAGACTAATAAATAAAAATTAATAACTACTATATAGACACCTTTAAAAAATAATAATAGTAGTAATGACAAAAACAAACATTTCTAAAACTTTTAACACAAATTAAAGTGAAAACAGAGAATATATATCGATAAAATGTCATTCAAAATATCAACAAAAACTATAAACTTAAACTTTATTTCAGCTAGTTGCCAAGGCAATATATATCTCGTTGTTAGGTTTAAGTTGAATTATCATAATAACTAAAACTAAACAAACGTAGTAAAATTAATAATACTATGTAGACATATTGTATAGTAAATATATTATATATATTTAATAATAATATTTATATTATATATATAAATATATAAAAAGTTACAAAACACAGCAAAATAAAATTTTAATTCAATTGAATTTTGCTTAAAGTTGAAGTAATAAAATAACTATAAATGAACTAAAACAACACAACAGAATTTCTAAAACTTTAAAATTAAAGTGAAAACAGAAAATAAAATCTAATTTGAAGTATTAACCAAAATTATAATAGTACATGTTGGTTAGAGAATACAAGTCTGCTGCAATGCAGAGCAAGAGAACAGAGGAAAATATATGTGAAGTGAAGAGAGTGAGTCACATTATAAATGAGGATAAAATGATCTCCTGATGAAGGTTGAAATAAAGCTCTATTGTACAGCTGATCACCAGGGGAAAGACATTCAAATAGAAACATCTCCTCATGGGAAATAACACGTGTTCTCCTCAGGTCCCGGGTCATCAGTCTGTGTTCATCAACGAGCCTCGCCTGTCGGACTTTAAGCAGGTCCTGCTGCGTGAAGGGATCCAGGCCGAGTTTGTGGGCGGAGTTCTGGTGTGTAATAATCTGGTGGCTGTCAGGAGGGTGAGTGGAAGCACATTACACCACATAATATGCAAATCACCTCTTATGAATATTTGATTAGTGGCCGGCACATTATGAGCTGTACAATCAGGATGTGTTCTTAATGTGTGTTGCAAAAAGCCAAATTTGGATTTGACGACTCGGGACATTGCCTTTTGAAAGACGTTTATGCAGTGATCTGCACGTATTTTTAAATTGAAAAATTAAGCATAATTAATATAGTAATGTATCTATAATCTGCAATAATCTTGACAAAAAGTAGCAACGCAGCTTTTTAAGCACATGCAGCTTGTTGTATCTTGTCATGCTACATACATGCACACACAGTAAATCTGTTCATTGAGATCTTATTAACCTGTCAACACAAGCATCATCGGCATTGTCTCATAATTATGGAAAATAATACAGTTTCCCACAATTCAGTGCTTCTGAGTTGACCTTCCATTTCCAATTTGACAAATGAACTGGAAGTCATATCAGCCATTATATTTTTCAATTCAAGTCATTATCTTACAACCAATGTTAGAAATTTCTTGACGTAAACTTGGATCAATAATACATAAGTGTATTTTTGAGAAAACTGGATGTCACTTGCAGAATGAAACATGTAGTTTAATGTCATGTGTATATCAATTTAGAAAGATTTACCCATCCATAATGCACACAATTTTGCATGTTTTAACAAAATAGGAATATATAATGTTTACTGCACACATGAACTTAAAAAAACTAAACATTTTGTTGTAATATATATGCAACATTACATATATATTATATTGCATAAAAGGATTAAGTAATTTGTCTGAACATTATTTCCAAAATAAAGGTAGACTACATTTAATTAATTAATTAATTTACATGCAGCCCAATTAAGTTTATTTATATTGAATATATTTATTTGTGTGTGTGTGTGTTTTGTGCTGTCATATACACCTATTTTTAAAACAACAATCATAAAAAAAAGGAATCTCTTTTATTAATTTTTTTAAATTTAAATTAATTAATTATGGTCTTTCTCTATCATGTGGAAGCCATGTACACAACCACAGTTTTGTCAGTATATAATACCAGTGTTGGGGGTAACGCATTACAAGTAACGCGAGTTACGTAATCAGATTACTTTTTTCAAGTAACTAGTAAAGTAACGCATTACTTTTTAATTTACAAGAGAGTTACTTTTTCAAATAAGTAACGCAAGTTACTTTTTTTTTTCAATTTACTGACTGACAGCTCTCCTGTCCCCATGCTGAGAGAAATCAGAAGATGTTACTGTAGTTCTAAAAAATAATGCAACTCAGAATATGACGCAAACCTGCAATAATTAAATGTTAAACAACACAAATATCCTTTATGTATTTAATCCCATTCTATTAACCAATGTCTTTGCTTCTGACCTTCGATGATCCAGTTCAAGCGTACTAATAAGCACAAATGACTCTAGACAAACATTTGTGTCTTTTTTTATTGCTGAAGTGTGTTGAAATGTCTTCTTCTGTATTCTACTGTACGGACGTACATTTACTTTCCCTTCAGCCCGAGGCTTATTCATTTCACTTTTGGTGTGAAAAGCTTTTATATTTGCCAAAAATATAACTTTTTTTATTTTAAAAACAAACAAGCAAGCCCTATCCAGATTTAAAAAGTAACGCAAAAGTAACGTAATTACTTACTTTTTTATGGAGTAACGCAATATTGTAATGCATTACTTTTAAAAGTAACTTTCCCCAACACTGTATAATACTGGTATATTGCCCACCTCCAGTATATCATATTATATATATATATATATATATATATATATATATCAGGAACCTGCCACGATATGACTAGTTAGCCAGACTTTTTGTAGTACCAGTGGCAAGTGTTCAAATCATCTTGAGATTCCAGCGTTATGCTGTTTTGTTATGAATGAATGATGCATTTATATAGCGCTTTATTGTGTATTGTTGTACACCCAAAGCGCTTTACAATCATATGGGGGGGTCTCTCCTCAACCACCACCAGTGTGCAGCATCCACTTGGATGATGCGACGGCAGCCACAGGACAGCAGCGCCAGTGCGCTCACCACACACCAGCTACAGGTGGAGAGGAGAGAGAGTCATAGAGCCAATCAAGTGGTTGGGGATTATTAGGAGGCCATGATTGACAAAGGCCAGGGGGGCAATTTGGCCAGGACACCGGGGTTACACCCCTACTCTTTACGAGAAGTGCCATGGGATTTTTAATGACCACTGAGAGTCAGGACCTCGATTTAACGTCTCATCCGAAGGACGGGACATCCTGTGTGTACTGTGAACAGCTCTTAACATGCTCACCTGAACACCTCACTGCACTGCTGTACAACACTGACCTCTCTCTCTCTCTCTCTCTCTCTCTCTCTGTCTCAGACGGAAGCGGGCCGCATCTGTCTGGAAGGCTGCCATTGTGATGACTACTACAAGATTCGTGAGCTGTTGTATCAGCAGTACGCTGTAGTTTAATGGATCTCAATCAGCTCCAGCCCCTCCTTTCATTTCCTTTCCTTTTGTAGCTTTTGAGTTGTGTATTTTATTATGGTTTCCCCCCACGTTTACATGGCAGACGTTCTCTCTGAAAGAACGTCTGTCTGGACTGAAGAAGAACAATGCTTTTGTTCCAAACTGCTGGATGCAAGGAATCGTTTAAGCCTTTTTTACCCCTTATTTTGCTCAGATAAACTTCAGTTTTCGTAATGAAAAATTGGTGTCAATGTGAGTTTGTGCATTTACATTTATTCATTTCAGTGCTGCTATATAAAATAACCTGGGCTTGTTCAGAATAGCATACTACCATCTGCAGTGTATAGTATGTATTCTGTGCATAGTATGCACATTTTCTGTATGCATGGAAATACGTACTACATTTGCCGAAATGTGCATTATGCATCAGAACATAATAGTTTGAAAGCTTGTTTCTGCAAGGGGATAAAAACGTAATTCTGTGTCACAATTCTGACTTTTTTCAGAATTTTGTAATTCAGTTTTTTTTTTCCGCTACATAATTGCAGATTTGATCAGTTTTAAGTTTATATCTCAATTTCAACTTTTCTTCTCAGAATTGCAAGTTTATATTACGCATTTCTGAGTTTATATCATACAATTCTGATTTAACCACAGTTGTTTATATTGCGCAATACTGCATTTATATCTCGCAATTCTGAGTATATGTTATGCAATTCTGAGTTTATATTACGCAATTCTGAGTTTACATCATGCAATTTGCGAAACTTTCAAATTGTGAGGAAGAATTGCGAGATATAAACTTAGAATTGTAAAAAACTAATTGTGAGGTCAAGTCGTAATTACCTTATCCCATGGAGGAAACAATCAATCTTGTATAATGGGTACAATATCCCACAATGCAATGTTCTCGAGTTGACATTCCCATTTCAATTTGGCAAATGCACTGGAAGTTCTAGCGTTCTAGCGTTTTATCCATGTGTGTTCCCTAGAAATCTAACCCGTGACCTTTAACACTCAACCCTATGAGGATGCTGAGATAACAATAGTTCTAAGACGCTACGCAAAAAAGACACCATAAATGATATTTATTCTCGTATGAACTGCATTGTTGTCCTTCGTATAGTCTTTGAGCTCGTGACTGTTCCATGTCATGCCCTCTTTTCTTGACCTAAATAACTGATCCAGGGTCAAAGCTTCCTGCGATATTCATAAATATTTCCAGCACGGCTGATCCTGAGTCAGCTGTTTGAATGCACAATCTGCCAGCACAGCAAACATTATGGCCCAGATATGTTTGTTCTCATCTCTATACAAAACATCCAGCATTAATATAGGATTAGTCACTTCTTTTGTCAAAGTTTTCACTTTCTCTGCTAAATATTTGAAAAGAACTTTTAAGGCACTCGCTTGTATGGAAAGATACCGATAATGGCATTAAGAGTTCAGTTCAAAAGTTTTGTTTGGGACGGGTAGTTTCAAGAAAAAATAACCACGAATATTGCAGTATATTGGTTAAATCAGTTTGTTTTATTGAATTTTGTTCAATAATAATTTAAACTTGGTGGTTTTGTGTTTCCACAAAGCACAGAATCCTTTAAACCCAAGATGGTCCCTATCTGTATTTAGAAGAGTTTCTCCTGAATAATTTTTTAAAAAAATAAAAAAATAAATAAAACAAACAGCCAGATGTTTTCTCCTCCACCAAGCTCCAGCTCGTTACAGTTGGCCGGGCATCTGTTGAACCTAGATTCATCTGTCAGACTCCCAGATGGTGGAGTGTGACCCATCAGGCCTGAGAAGATGCTTCCACTGACCCACGGTCCTCCTGCTCGAGATTTACACCATCCTGACTGACACTATTAATGTTGGTAATAATAATAATTTTCAATGCACTTCAGTTCTTAGCTTTGAGTATGTATAACCTACAACTCTGCGCTTTTTATTATAGTAGCAGCACTTTAATCCCTTGTTGAAATTGAAAAATGGTGTGTAATTTGCACACTAGAACCCAGCTAACACCGAATGTTCTCAGTACAGTAACATTCATAGAATGTTTCTTAAAGTCGTCTGGTCTTTAACGATGTTTGCAAATTGTTAACAAAAAAAACCCTACAAAAATTATACATCATTATATACATTGTTAATGGATCATCTTTTAGTTGGACATTCATCTAAGCTTTTTTAAGTGTTATTACTTAGTATTGTTTCAGAATGTTAAGATGACACTTCAAAGTAACATTCCCATAATGCTTGCAAAGCATTAGCACAGAAAACTACATGGTATGTGTGTTGGAGCAGGGTTGGAACAAAACTCTGCAGGGCTCCGACCCTCCAGAAACTGAGTTTGACACCCCTGCCCTAGAGGAACCAATGTGCACCCACCAGTCTCACAAAATCCTGTGGGGACACTGGGAATGTAGAGGAAACACTGTAGGATTGGCTGTCTCAATGTATGTGTGTGTATGCCAGTTCAACTTACTATTTGCTTGGGTACAATGTATGGCACTAAATACACTTCTCCAGTAAAGCATAATGATTAAGGGGGCCTCACACAAAGAGCAGCCTAGGGGCCCTTGACCACCTTAATCCGCCCCTGGATATTGGTCAAACATTTTTTTACACATCATTACGCATTCAGAGAACATGGAAAATTAATGTTCCCATATTTCTAAATGATGAAATGGAAAGTTCCGGGACTTTCTAAAATGCTTAATTTGGCTTAATGTGTAAAGACAGTGTTTTTAAACTCTGTAAACACGTTATTAATAAACCATACTATGTACAGACAAGCAAATGAGTCCAAGATACGAATGCAATGCGTTTAAAAACGCGTCAAGCATTTTCCTCCCATAGAAAACGGTTATAAGTAAAACACTAAAAGGATGCATTAAAACAGTGTTCTTAATATGGACTATGCTTGTTTGTACATAGTATGATTTATTAATACTCTGTTTACTGAGTTTGGTCTTTTAGAAACACTGTTTTAATGCATTAAGCCATGTTAAGTGGTTTCCTATGAAAATGCTTAATGCGTAATTAAACGCGCTGCGTTCTTATTATGGGCTCATCTGCTTGGCTGTATATTTTATGCTTTATTAATAATGTGTTCAGAGAGTTTGGACATTTATAAAAACTGTCTTAACGCATTAAGCCACGTTAAGCGTTTTCCTTTGCTGGTGAAATGCTTAAAGGGTTAGTTCACCCAAAAATGAAAACTAACCCACAAATTGCTCACCCTCAAGTCATCCTAGGTGTATATGACTTTCTTCTTTCAGATGAATCCAGTCTGAGTTATATTAAAAATTGTCTTTGATCTTTCAAGCTGTTTAATGCCACTCAGCGGGTGTTGCATGCATCAGTCCAAAAGAAGTTAAATAAAAAGCGCCCATCCATTAAAAAAATGTCTCCGGGGGGTGAACAAAGGCCTCCTGTAGCGAATCGATGCATTTTTGTAAGAAAAATATCCATATTCAAAACGTAATAATCACTTTAATGTAGCCTGCGCCAGCAGTTGACTGATGCATGCAACACCCACTGAGTGGCATTAAACCGCTTGGAAGATCAAAGACAATTTTTTATATAACTCTGACTGGATTAGTCTGAAAGAAGAAAGTCATATACACCTAGGATGACTTGAGGGTGAGTAATTTGTGGGCTAATTTTCATTTTTGGGTGAACTAACCCTTTAACGCGAAATTAAACACGTTGCGTTCGTGTTCTGAGCTCAACTGCTTGTCTGTGCATAGTATGCTTTATTAATAATGTGTTTACTGAGTTTGGTCTTATAAAAACACTATTAACACATTAAGTCACGTTAAGAGTTTTTCACGTTAAGCCTTTTAGAATGTCCCAACGTTCCCTTAATGTTTTCTCTAACATTAGCATAAACAAGAAAATGACTTATAAAACATTTTCAGAGAACATTCAGAAATAACTTGACAGGAACAACAGCAAAACGTTCTTAGAACACATTTTTGTTAGTTGGAAAGAGAAGCGCAGTTGAGCTGTACTGTGAGTGACAGTCTGCACCTTTTCCTCTGTTGCATAATAGTATTTAAATGTAAAGACTTCATGTGAAGGCCAGAACATTGTCCGTCCTTGTGTTTTATGTCCCCCGGAGTCAACTCCAGTAATCCTCTCTGTGAAAGAGTTGAAGAGATTTAAAAAAGGCGAGCGCGATTCCTTGCTAAAGTGGAGCATGATTCCAGCTCCACCTCTCTGCTTTTTATGATAAGTGACTGGCAGAAATGTCCATCAGCTAATCCTCTTAGTGTTCATAATGCTGACTCTGCTTTAATGGACCTGACAGCTGAGCTGTAAGACCAGACCGGCCAGAAATGGACCATTGTGTTCCTGAAGCACAGAGTTCAGTCGCTCATCCTCAGCGGCGGCGAGATGGCGACATAAGCGCTGCCTGAACTAAACCTAAAACCTACCTAGACAGCATTTTAAGACATCAACTTCCAGTACAACAGCTGTTTAGTAAGGTATATTCCTTCGTTTAACCTTAATCTGAGACTATTTGGGAAAAAACATCCAACATGAATAACATGATTATAAAATTGTTGCCAAAATGTAAAAATGTACCAGTATTTATGTGTGCTATTTATTTATATGCTTATCAATGTGAGTATCATGTAATTAGCTAAGACATATGCTAATGACAACACAATGGGATTGACTTGAACTGTCACCAACTAAATTTCAGAGGCCAAACTAATTAAAATATAGTGAATTAAGCTACAAACTTGATTATGCAGTGTTTCCATCTAGCATGTATTTTGATGTGCAGCTCATCAGTGTTTTCACTAGTTAGCAGTAAACCGGCTACCTCACCTGAATATGTTCGTAGATTTGTATTGGATGTTTCGACGTGGAAAGCAGTTATCTTCGGAACGGAAATATGGATATTTTTATTTGTAAACATACTTTTTGGGCATATTTCAGTTAATGTTATAAAATTAATGAGCTCAGCCAGTAATAGTTCTGACAGTGTCGTTAAACATGGCTGAAGACATGAAAAGTGGAGGAACAGGCAAACTGATTCAAGCCAATTCAATCCGAGTCATTTCAAACTCAAACTTGATTCACTAGCAAAAAAAGATCAAAAGAGCCATTAATTTAGAGTAATAATTTTTAAAAGCACTATTGATGGGTGAAACTGAGCTTTTCAAAACTAATTGTTGCCAAAATGTAAAAATGTACCAGTATTTATGTGTGCTATTTATTTATATGCTTATCAATGTGAGTATCATGTAATTAGCTAAGACATATGCTAATGACAACACAATGGGATTGACTTGAACTGTCACCAACTAAATTTCAGAGGCCAAACTAATTAAAATATAGTGAATTAAGCTACAAACTTGATTATGCAGTGTTTCCATCTAGCATGTATTTTGATGTGCAGCTCATCAGTGTTTTCACTAGTTAGCAGTAAACCGGCTACCTCACCTGAATATGTTCGTAGATTTGTATTGGATGTTTCGACGTGGAAAGCAGTTATCTTCGGAACGGAAATATGGATATTTTTATTTGTAAACATACTTTTTGGGCATATTTCAGTTAATGTTATAAAATTAATGAGCTCAGCCAGTAATAGTTCTGACAGTGTCGTTAAACATGGCTGAAGACATGAAAAGTGGAGGAACAGGCAAACTGATTCAAGCCAATTCAATCCGAGTCATTTCAAACTCAAACTCGATTCACTAGCAAAAAAAGATCAAAAGAGCCATTAATTTAGAGTAATAATTTTTAAAAGCACTATTGATGGGTGAAACTGAGCTTTTCAAAACTCCCAACAAATCAGTTAAACCGTTGCGTCGCAATATGATTCAGTTTCGAAGTGCTCCAATCGGGTCGCATATCACGAATCATTTGATTTACATTGGAACTGCAGAGCGGGTTCCTGAATTTTTTAATTCATATCAGGACTTCGGAGCAGGATCATAAATCTTTTTGCGAATTTAAAGAATCGTGAGGATGCACTCCGAAGTCCCAATCTGAAATGATGGTTCATGAATCATTATTCAGATCGGGACTTCGGAGCGCTGTAGGGTATCAGAGTGAAGCAGACCATTTAAGATTTGATCAGATTTGTGTTGAACAGCCCAAAGAGCCACATTTCACAAAGAGGCTCAGGATAACAAGACAACGTCATAAATCTGCCCATGATACCCTGGCACCACGAGTTTGAAGTGAGCCTAATGAACTAGCAGCTTTGAGCAGCTCACAGCATTAAAACAAAAGAACACTTATTGATAATTCCAACTCAGGAAGGAGTTTGTCAAATTTGGGGCAAGTAACCAAGATTAATGGTCAAAGACACATCATATCATGACCATCACATGAGGAAAATCATTAGTAGACACTGTGTTGGGTGGTTTCTGCCCACCTAGAAGACAAAGACCAGACTGAGATTCCTTCTAAACCCTTTTGACCTTTGGTCTTCACAAAGAACATGTCCTCACGTTCACAGAATGGCACAGAAACTGCCTTTACATGTATATATGCACCTAAATGATGCTAAAAGGATTTATGAGCAACTTTTACGTCTATGCATAACTCTATATCATGTATGTAACCCACACATTTGACTATCATATCCTAATCACTTATTGTGTGTATGTATTTTGAATAACTATTGAATGGTTTATAGGATTATATTCATGTTGGCTATGTATGAGTTTGAATGTTCATGCTTTGTAAAATGTATTATATTCTTGTTATAGAAATGATGCCCAAATTATACTCTGCAAGAGCGGGAAAATTCTGACCATGTGACTGATAAGATAACAAGTTGATTTATGTATTGGGAGGAGAAACATAGCAACACCCCGAGCTAAGACCATGTCTAACTGGTCAAAACACCATTTGGGATGTGTCCAACAGCCCGGTTTAAATACTCAGGACACCATCAAATTATGCTTTTTGCCTTCTCAACTCTTGGCCATTGCTTTTAGTCATCGCTTTTTGCATTAGGGCTTTTAGCCATGCTTTTTGCCCATGAATTCTTCGAGCGCCGTTCCAGCTCTGGCTTGAATGCCAGCAGCTCCTCTAAAACCATGAGGAGAAACGCCGCCTAGTCTCGTCAAACTTTACCCTTTTCTTTCTTTTACCTTAGTTTCTTTTATTTTCCGTTGAGAGTTTCGTGTTCGGAGTTAAGTTTCGACGCAACGCCGTGTCTCCGAGTTCACCTCGAGTCTGTGACCACCTCAAAACTTCAACCAGCTCACAACTAACCCCCTAAACAAGCAACACCTCCAGATTCTAGCTGAACTGGTGCATTTAATATAAATTTTAACCTCACTGAGGAACTCAATGCGAGGGTTAATTAAGTGATTGATGGCTGTTCAGGTCTATCAAAGACTATAGAATACCCAAGACGTGTCACTCGTATAGTTTTGAATGGGGGAAAATGCAACGCTCAATATGGCCGCTCAATCGCAGGAATCCCTGCCTTCTGAATGAAAGAGCTAATCGGTAAAGTCAGTGCATCACTGCAGCTGCAGTTAGAAGTGTCACGGTTGCTATAGAAACAGTCAGCGTTCTGAGACGTGCCTTTAGGATCTAAAACCATGAGGAGAAACGCCGCCTAGTCTCGTCAAACTTTACCCTTTTCTTTCTTTTACCTTAGTTTCTTTTATTTTCCGTTGAGAGTTTCGTGTTCGGAGTTAAGTTTCGACGCAACGCCGTGTCTCCGAGTTCACCTCGAGTCTGTGACCACCTCAAAACTTCAACCAGCTCACAACTAACCCCCTAAACAAGCAACACCTCCAGATTCTAGCTGAACTGGTGCATTTAATATAAATTTTAACCTCACTGAGGAACTCAATGCGAGGGTTAATTAAGTGATTGATGGCTGTTCAGGTCTATCAAAGACTATAGAATACCCAAGACGTGTCACTCGTATAGTTTTGAATGGGGGAAAATGCAACACTCAATATGGCCGCTCAATCGCAGGAATCCCTGCCTTCTGAATGAAAGAGCTAATCGGTAAAGTCAGTGCATCACTGCAGGTGCAGTTAGAAGTGTCACGGTTGCTATAGAAACAGTCAGCGTTCTGAGACGTGCCTTTAGGACTGCGCATGCGCACTGGCTGAAAGAAAAAAGAAACTACATTTATGACACAGTTGTTGTCAGATTTCATTGGTGATTTCAAATATGAAATTTAATTGTAAGCTTAGTGAACAGTTTGGGAGAATTTAATGTTTCCCCATACAAAGTGATAGGAACTGCACTTGCATGCCCGAGAGACATTTCAAAGATGGCCGCCGAGTGGCATGACTTGCCTTAAAGGGACTCTGGGTCTATGCAATTGCACATATTGCTATAAACTTGAGATTTCACATTTTCATTCTCTTAAACTCATTCTTTCCTCATTTTCTCTCTTCCTGCAACTTGTATGAATGTGTGAGTGCGTATGTTTATGTGTTAGATTAGTTTATGTCCAAAAAAGTCTTATTTATATTGAAAAGAGACGTATCTTGTGTTTTGTGCTTACAAGTTAATGTCTTAAACTGCCGATCTTGTTACTGCGCTAATAAATAGTGTTTTCACTATATTTTGGATATTAATATCTATGCAGAGTTGCTAGCCGACTCAGTGATCAACCGTAAAACAGTGATTCTGTCCAAATTCCCTATAAAATCAAAAATAATTCCCTTCGAGCTAAATTGACCTGTTTCCCTTACTGCGCGTATCGCAAATCATTTGATTTACATTGGAACTGCGGAGCAGGTTCGCGAATCAGTTGATTCAGAACTTTGGATTGCTTATCGCAAATTCTTTCTTTCTTTCTTTTTCTTTCTTTCAATTAAAGGCGAAGCCCGTTTCCGCCACTAAATAAAATAATATAATTCTGTAAGTCATAATAATGAGAAACTTTCTCAAAATTATGACTTAGTATCTCGTTTTATTATGAGAAAGTTTCTCATTATAACGAGATACTAAGTCATAATTTTGAGAAAGTTTCTCATTATTATGACTTACAGAATTATATATTTTTATTTAGTGGCGGAAACGGGCTTCCATACAATACAGTTATAAAGAAGAAAAAAGAAAGTACAAATCCCTTAAGAAAATTAACCATGGTTTTATTATAGAGAAAGTGTAGTAATCATGCTTTTTTTTTGCCTTTTGATTACCATTTGTATGACCACAATTTTACTACAAATACCATGGTTAAACTATGGTTAGTGTAGCAAAACCATGGTTAATTTGTGGCTACCATTGTTTAACTATAGTAACCATGCTTTTTTTTTTGTAAAACCGTGGTTTTACAAAAACATTTATGCTTTTGTGTGGATATCTCCATCTGCCTTACACTTCTTTGATTTACATTGTCAAACATAATTTTGTGTTTAAACATAAGATTTACTGGCGAAAGGAAAGGACGTGTGGCCAAGTATGGTGACCCATACTTGGAATTAGTGCTCTGCATTTCACTCATAATGTGTCTGCTCAATTGTGCTCCTTCCTGCAAAAAAAGATCTCTATGAAGAATTTCAGTCAGGTTTCAGGCCCCACCATAGCACAGAAACTGCACTTGTTAAAATTACAAATGACTTGCTTCTTGTGTCAGACC